ACAACAATATTCCTTGCTAGTGGTAGCTCTTGATATATTTATGTTTAAAGAAATTAGGAACTGATGTTATTATGATATGACGGTTAGGGTTTGGTTCAACATAAGTGTGAGATTTAGATTGTGAATTGTATGTATTAAAGTGCTCAGGGAGGTATAATCATTGTTATTCAAAATATATCATACCCGTCCCGCAGCCTACATTACAACCAAAATAAAGTCCTACTTGATCTTTGACTGAATGAATTCAATTAGTAGCGTATTACACTACGGGCAAGCATATGGTACGTCTTCTGTGGAATATGAATTTTGATTCTAAGAGTGAGTGGATTCTTTTTATCTTGAGTTCCTATATGTTATTGAATTTCATTTTGTTTGGAACTGCTCTCATTTTTTATGTGAGGGAACATGATTTGCGAAGGAAAGGTAAAATCTTTGACCTCTATGTTAGAGTAAGTGAGCATATTGTAAAAAATGCATGCTGCTTTTGAGTTGAGTCTTGAGGCTCGGATGTTTTGATAAGGTGCTTAGTCTACTTTAAATATTCTTGGCATGATATTTTAGGAATATTGTTTGATGAAAAGGTTGTCTCTATGTAAAGTGTAGTTTGATTGCTCGAGTATGAGCAATGGTTTAAATGTGGGGTGCTGATGGTACGATAGAAAGTCATATTTTAACTATATTTTACACTCTAATTACTGTACTTTACATGTGTTTGAGCATAAATAATGGTGATATGCACTCATTACATGTTTTATGCCTTGCGGGTGTTGATTCCGAGTTAAAAAGATGAATTGGAGCTAAATCGAACAAGTTGGAGCTTTGAAGTCTGAGTAGAAGCCCAAGAAATTAAGCCGGGATCACGTTTGGGGGTCGAGGAACAAGTTTGGATGTCAAAAAGTGGAAGAAACACTTTAGTTTGAGAAAAACACATAGCCACATTGCATAGGGCGCGACGCGGCTGTGTAAATTTGAGCAGTCTGTCACAAACTTGCTCTCTGAAAATCCTCACACACATGGCGCATGTCACAACGCGGGGCGCATGTATAAATTGGCTAGAATATTTTCTTATTTCGGCTTGGAAAGAGTAGTTCGGTCTAGACCCGCTTTTACATGGTATAAATACACCAAAAATATTATTTTTGAGGGGACTTTTGACCTATGAAAGATTGGAGAAACAACTAATGCAAGAAGAAAGATTTCATCATGACTTCAACTAACAATCGGTGCAATACGAGAATTTGTAACGAATCATTAGTATTGATATTTTCTTTATGTTTAAACCTTATTGAGATGAATTTGTCCATTGCTATGGAGTAATTTTACTTAGGGTGTTAACATATACGGTGTATTGATAATTTGAATAGGGATTCGATTCTTGAATATTGTTTGAATTAATTGATGGAGTTTTAAATCATATTATCAAGTTATTTATTATTTTGCTTAATCCAAAGATGAGCTTTACATTGAATTTCTTTACATCTTATACCCTATTTTAAATTCGTGATTCAACGAGGTAATCGAAAGAGACTCTAAAATTATTAATCGAACTAGAAAATAGGAATATATTCGTAAGAAGTTACCCTTTAGACTAAAACAATTATTTTATTTGTTGTAATTGTTCACCGTGCTTCAATTAGATTAATTACTGAAATTAACGTTTAATCGAAAGAGGAACATTAACTTTAAGTGTAATCTAATTACCTGTTGAATTCGTGAAAATCAACAGTACCATAGAGTGAATTAATTTAAGAATTGGATCCCGAATCAATTATCTTGCACATGTCTAGTCAATTACTCTTATTTCTCTCATTGATATTTCTTTTGTTGCTCAACTGTTGTCCTTCATGATCAATTGATAATTGCATTATTTTACAGTTAATTGTAGTTGATAATTATTCAATCAAGTGTTAATTTTATTGGATAATGATTAACTAGAGATTCTTCGAACACTGTTTAAATCCAATCCATGTAAAGATGATAATTTAACTATACTATCTTTGACTAGCGAGCATAAATTTTGTGTTGTGTTTTGCGCTCGTCAAAGGAGTGTGTCTATCTCTGAGAACTAGTTTGGATTCATGCTAGGGCGGTCGACTACAGAAGCCATTCATCTGGTAAGGAGGTTGATGGAGCAGTATAGGTAGAGGAAGAAGAACTTGCAAAAGCCTACGATAAAGTCCATATGAAGGTTCTATGGAGATGCTTGGAGATTAGCGGTGTTCCGGTAGCGTAGATTAGGGTGATTAAGAACGTGTACGATAGAGCTAAGACTCGGGTAAGGACTCTGGGAGGAGACTGATTATTTCCCAGTGATGATGGGGTTGCATCAGGATCAGCTCTTTGCCCATTTTTAAAAATCCCGCATATTTTAAGAACAATTTTCAGAAAAGTGGTTTGAAATAAAATTAGAAAGGAAACAAGTTCAACATGATGTTGAAAAAGGTATTAACATGAGTGAAAAAACATAGTCCGATGTATAGATTAGTAACTTTATTTACCCTAAAAATCAGATAACAGTTAAATTTATAAGTGATTTTAAAGATACGCGGATTAACTTGATACAAAGCGATAAATTAAGTTGCTAGTGAATAAATAAAGATAAAATAAATTCAAACCACACGAATTGGATAGTTTCAGCTTTGATGGTATAATCGCTCTCAAGTCGGGCTTACCACGACCGGTATCGATAAAAAAAGAACAAGAACTTAAAGACAGAGAAAATAATAATGTATTGCTTTTGAGTGCGTGTTACAAACTTACAATATGTCAAATGAGTTATTAGACCCCCTTTATATAGTAGGGGAGTTTTATTTTAGGTAAAACTCTATAAAAGGTAAAAAAATCTTCTGATTCGCTGATTGCCGATTCCTTATCGATACGTGTCGAGATTCCCGCTGTAACATTCGGCCGATTACGGATATTTCGGTCTTCTGTTGGCTATGCTGGATTGTCCTTCAAAATCGATCGAGGCTAAGACTGATTCCGGGACCATGACCTCGATATTCTTGAAGGCAGGCGTCATGCCCCCAGATTATGGCCTAGTGGGACTTTGGCTCGATTTCGGTCCTTTATTGCCATGTCTCGAGCCTAGCTTATTTTTTCGGAGGCTAGGATGCACCATGAGCTCGATTTACCTTGTATACAGATAGTCCCCTCCTTTTTCGGAGAGTAAACGACGAGAAACGACATGAGCTTCTGATTCTTACTTCGATACACCGTGACAGAAATGACAAAACAACTTAAGCATCTCTTCAGTCAAGTCTTAATGGCACTAAATGCATGTCAGTCACCGGTCAGCCGTCAAACGCTGCTGGAATACTATAAATACCCCCTCCTTTGTTCATTTTAACTTTGATCCAAACCTTCTACCATTGTATCTTTAAGATTTCAATACTTTCTAGCACTTTTACTTTGGTTATTCGAGATCCTTTGCAAGATTTTTTTACCCATATTCATCTCAAGCCAAGAAGTCTAATCCTTCAATCTTATTTTCTTTCTCCACCTTTCTCAGACGTTCCTCTATTTTTTTTATAAAAATGGCAAAAACTTCCAAAATCGTTCCTCAAAAAGAAAATCCATCTACTTCGTGACCGACTACTGAAGTCGAGGAGACCATTTTGCGCGCTGCCGTCGATGAACCAATACCTGAACCCCCATTGAAAATGTTCATCCCCGGGGGATTCTCGGTCAACATCGATTTCAAGGTCGAAAAGCCTTCTTCCGTACAAGGCCGGTGTAAGGAGGTCTCGAGATACATTTGTTTGATCACCGAAGAGATCCTCCCTACAATCCGAAAAGATTGCAACTGGGCCGATAAGGACATAATGGTCCCCGACCCTGATGAATCCATTACCACCCATGTTGTGGGATACCTAAGTGTTTACACTTATCCTTTTACATTGGTCCCGGTGGATCCGGTCAATTTGTATTTTTGCAGAAGGTACAACGTGTGCCTAGGCCAGATTTACCCATCGCTCTGGATGATCGTGATCCTCCTCTAGTTATTTGTGAAAACAATCGATGGGTGCTCGTTCACTATCGACCATATTCTACGCTTATACAGTCCCTGAATCTTCCGGGGGGTGATAAAACTTGTGCGGCAGGCCAGTAAAGCCCTATTCTCAAGTATTAATGAGGATCAGGATCGGGGCAGGCAAGGCCATTTTGTCCGAGTGATAACTTCGGACTTAATCCCAGCCGAATGCAGGCCATTCCCCGAGAAGTGGAATGCCTCACGTAAGTACGATTTACTTTCGAATGTCGATTTTACACTTACTTCTCTTTTTCTTATTGGTGCTTTCTGTTGGTGCAGTCGTCGCTCGGGTCCCAAACGCTATCCCTCGACTCAAGGAGTGGGTCGAGGGTATCGTATCACAGATGCCGTATTCAGAGAGCGCGTGGCGCAAGCTCTCTAAGGGCCGTTGAGAGGCCTGTTCCCATGGTGAGACTTCTTTCCCGAGTAGGTAGTATTAGGATATTAAGCCCTTACTCCCTTTACTTCTTTTTGCAGGTTTATCTAAGGATGTCAAGCTTAGGCCTCTAGCAGTCCCCTTCTCCGAGAAAGGCCAAAGAAAAGAAAAGAAAAAGGGCTCCGAGTTCCCCGAGCTCGAAGAAAAAGAAAACAAGAAGAAGGCTGGTGCGCAAGTCAAAAGAACGGGCACCATCTTCGGATTTGCTCTATAGGCTGAGAGACAAATATGAAGAAGAAGAAGATGATGAAGAAGAAGAAGAAGAAGAAGAAGAAGAAGAACCCTTTGTTCTGGTGGCCTGCCTGCCGTCGCAGCCCGAAGGGTAGGGGGCCTCCGAACCAGAGAGCCGCGAGGCCGATCTGCCTCAAGCTAAAGAGGTCGATGAGGAGGCGGGGGCCGAGGCTTCCCGGGATGCAGGCAGTGACCCGAAGAAGGCACTCGTTGTGATAGATATCACCGAGTCACACTCGTTTACCGAGTCTATGTACAACGAGTCCCAAACTGTAAAAGAATGCCCCAACAAGGGGGCCCATGGGGCGGACGAACCTTTTCGCGGTTGTTTTTGATGGCATGGATTTCACTACCACGGAGGACGTCACCGGATTAGGTGACTTAGATGTACCGAAGAATAGTCCATCTTCGGGAGCAAGTGGGCCTACCTCGAGCCCGAAACTGATCATTTGGTTCCCTTCCACGAGCGTGGATCCTGACCGGAAGCGATCCATCATCATCTCTATTCTGGAGGATGCCCGGGTTCTTTTCGCCCCTATAGGGGTGGCCAGTTACCTACGGTGCCTGGTGACCGAAGAAGATCAAGCCAAAATGAACGAGGTAGACGTGCGCTGCTTGTTGAACGAAGCACAACATGCGCTGAACCGGATAACTTTAGACAACCCTCGATGATTTCAATTTCTCCTCTTATAATTGAACTAATTCATTGATAATCCTAATATTTTTCTTTGCATTTGTAGGTCTTGGTGCTTCATCATGAAACTTTCCTCAGGTATCGGGATGAGTTGAACCAGCTCGAAGCCGAAGTCAGAGGGTTTACTGAGAAGAGAGACACGTACAAACTTCTCAATGAGCAACATGAAGAAGAGGCTAAGGGCCTTCGAGCTGAGTTAGAAGCGGCTCGGAAAGAACATGCCGACCTTGTTGAACAGGTAAAAATCTTTGAAGTTAGTGACGATGAGATAGACACGGTGACTAATGGTCGGAACCTGCAGGTCCAGCAGAAGATTGATCGGATCGACCAATTTCGAGCCGAGATAGATGCAGTCAAGGTCGAGGCCGAAGAGTGGAGAGGCAGGATGGACCGCCTGGCCTTAGAAAAGGAGAATGCCCAGGCACAGTTGGCCTCGGCGGAGGCCCAACTTCAGGCGGCGGAGGAGGAGAAGGATGATGCTCGGTCCCAAAGAGTTGAGGAGCTTCAGTCTCAGCTAAGCTCGGTCGTTTTCGATCGAGAGACAATTGCCAAAGAGCTTAAAGTGGCCAAGTCGGTGGTTGAAGAGACGAAAGCTGATGTCGACGAGATGGTGGCCCAGTATAAGGCCGATGGTGAGGCAGCCCAGGCCTTCGAAGAAGTTCATGCTCGGAGTTTTGATTTATCGGCCGAGGACGAAAGTGCTAAGGGGTTCGAAGCCGAGGCCAAGAAACTGGCATATCCCAAGGATGAAGAAGACTCCGAGGGTTCAGACGAATCCAGGGGAGGAGAAGACTCTGATGGTGATGGTGATGGTGATGAGGCGGGCTCCAGTGGAGACCAAGCCGTTTACGTTCCTTGCATATTTTTCTTTGTTTTTGTACTTTCGTATTTTTGTACCTTTTTTGTCAATGTCGTTTGTCCTTTGTAAAGACCTTTTCACACACACACACACACACACACACACACACATATATATATATATATATATATATATATA